TCATGCCGTTAATATGCACATTTCCAGCAACTTGTAATCACAATTGTATTTGTGAGTTAAAGTGTATCAAATGACTTTTTTGAAAACTAAATTTTTCTGTGAAAGAGATTCCACCCATCGAGAACGCTATGGCGCTCCTTATATGTTCAATAGTCTTGGCTTGAGGTAAAGAATCGTGCTGGAGCATCCCGGCGTGAAAGCGTTGGGGTTGGGTGCCGATCCATTCTTAGACATTGAAATAATCCTTCGAGAACTCAAGTGAAATTATCCAACGCTTTTGCAGCCTATTTTTCGCCCATTTGACATTTGAACTCACTTTGTTCACTTACACTGTTCTGTGGCAACAATACGTAGAGCAGAAATTTGCACGTTGATGTCCAGTCGGAGCTGGTAGATGCGGTGGATAAAATTTAGGGATTGTCATATCAGACGCAATACGGTAGAGTAATACCAAATGATCTCTGTGTTGTTTTAATTACGGAATGTTTCCAGACATCTCTGATCATTTTAATGAAGAAATTATTGTCGTCAAATACTCAGATATTCTTCAGTTACAGGACTCTTCCAATGCTTATGATGGTAACGTCTATTTAGGCTTCGCTTTATTCGAAACATTTCATTTATCTCAGAGTCCATGATGTAGCTTTCTAGTGAGCCATGTAGAATAATCTTCTTTATGCACTGTATTATAATTTGTCATTCGACAGGTATATCCTGTTCCAATAGTGGCAGAAGAGCCACCAGTTCCTGAACTATCTTCCGGAAGTCGTCCCAGTTTGTTCTCCTCAGCTTAAACCTCGAATCTCCAGAATTTAACTTGATCCGGAATTTGCCACAGATTTTGATCTGTAGTAATTCCGGATTATATAAAGAATATATAGATATTAATAAGATATGATCACTATTTACAATACGCTGTTTCCAGAACCGGAATATTGCCACGTTATTACGGACATTCATATAGATATTAGAGCCTACACCTCGTGATACGGTTTCTATCCTAATGGCGCGCGTAATAGTACAAAATGAAGATTTTGCATTTATTACATATAAAACATTCCACAAGAGATGATCAAAGAATGTAGTTTATACGTGCGTTCTGCTAATTACTGAAGCATTCATATGATTTGAAATTTACATCTATGCCTGCAAATAAATAAGAGTCTATTTATCGGTTTTAGCAACACTTCGTGTTAATTTCACACTCTCAATATCTTCAAGCTTATACCTACCACAGACATGATGACTTCGCATCAAGCCCTTCACAATTCATATACCGCCTTGTCCGAATTGGAATATTGTGCGAGTACCAGGATGCCTATGTCTGGAATATAGATTAATAGTGGGCTGGATATCTCAAATTAAAAGCCTTGTACATGACGTACTTTTTATTCTCCCTTACTCAAATAGTATTACACACTTCCCCACTGTCTCAGCAGGGCACACCGCACTTTTTCTCTTTCTCACGAATAGATTTTCTTTGTCCGGATCTTAGTATGTGCATCTCATAGTAGCTGTGTATTACAAATACAAGATGTCATATTGGGAGAGGTGGCTTAGGGCATCAACTGCTGCAGGATTTTCGAATCTAGATTGTTAGCTAGGTCGAATTCTGTCGCTGTCGGAAGAGAATTCGAGGGGCAGAATGCTCTTATCGGTAGTTTTCAGGTTTCTCCGATCAATACTAGGCGAATGTCGGAGCAGTACTCTAACAAGCAGACCACGGACCGCGCGCGATCTTGCCCCCCTTATCCTTGTCCTATCCTCACCCCTTACACACACACCAACATTATCTACACTACCGCACTTGCCTGGAGTCCTGTCGGAAGCTTGGAGCTTGTCCCGGCTGCGGCTGTGCCCGCTAATGGGAAGTACCTAGTTGGGAAAACCCCGCTAGCTAACGGTAGGTCGGTGCCGGATCATGACAGGCAGATCACTGCCATCTCACAAAGGGGAAAACATGCACTGTATTTACAGGATTAATGACCTAGCCGTTGACGCGCCCGGAATCACTAACAACCAATCAACCACCCTAGATGTCATATACAATCGCCCCCACAGAGGTCTGCACTGCCACATCTCGGGGTGTCACGTTGCACCCAGCGCTGACATTGCTTCGGGTCACTGGCCCTGCCAATTCTGAAAAGAACCTTCATCTTTTTGACTTCTTCAGATAATGGGAAAATCTACGAAATTGTCTTCAACAAAATCGTTCTTTAATTCGTCCTCACCCATCGCATGCAGAATCCAATGCATTTTTAGGTATGCAAAGGTTATCTTAGGTCTAAGATTTGCTTTCTGGCAGGATCTACCAGCAGCATTCCACTCTTGTGATCTAGTCTTGTTTTATTTTCTTTAAATTTTGTCTGTGATGTTCATAATATTCTCTTTAACATACCACCATGGCTGAGTTGATCCTTGTCCTTCTGCATTTTCACGAGAATAATATATTCGGCTTCTCGCTTTCCAGATTGGGCCCGTTACGCGTTGCCTTCGGCATGTTAGAATTCTAGACGATTCCTTCATAAGAAGTATTTTTAGTTGAATCTCAGTACAACCTACCGCAAATAAGATTAACATTATCACCGGTACTGTATCTTTGACCGTAATTTTAATCTCTTCAGTAGACATGGTAGAGCTTTAATATTTGCTCTCGAGTGCTCGGTTTGATGATTAATATCCTTATGGTATCCAAGAAATCCAGTATCCCATTCTTTCTTTTTAGTTTCAGGTCTTCTAAGACGACTTGCAATCTGGGTGATCTGGGCTGTCTGGGTGACGCCGCGTCGAAGGCTGAGTTGCCGACGTTTCGACCATCCTGTGGAAGACCACGACAGGATGGTCGAAACGTCGGCAACTCAGCCTTCGACGCGGCGTCACTCGGACAGCCGTGGTCTTCCTCAGGCATACCAGCCCTGAACTAACTACTAAGCCACTAAACACGTGATATGTGGAGTCCTATACCCAACTGCCTCCTCGAATGAAGCAAAGTGTGCCCCGAATATGCTAAGCCCAATTTTCATTAATGTATTTCAGATTCGAATCTCCTTTGCTTCTTTTGGTGAATAGTGTTTCACGAGTTGTCTGAAGAATTAGTAGGATACAAGTTGCAGTATTAAAATAGTACATAACCATTACAAATAACACAAGAAAGTTCATGGTGTTGTAGCACCACTAGTTATAAAGTGGGTTGTGAAGTAGTGGTCATGATTTTTTTCAAACGTGCCATGGAGAGGTTGTACAAGATAGCTGTTATATTAAATATACATAATCTGCAAAATAATTATCATTTTAATGAACCATTACAAATTATACTAGAAAGTATGTGGGATGTTGTTGCCCTACTATTCAGGAGATTTTAAACGGTACCTCCTTACATTAGCCAATAATTTTCTTATTCCAGTTATCCTCTACTCAGCGACCAGATTTCACTTATGTAGAATAATTGTTTAGTAGGGGCTTTTCTAACATAGTCGTGTCAGTTAAACTGTATAGAGAACTCTTACTCTCTATTGTTTGTTGTTTAGTTCTCCTATGTAGAACGGTACATTGCAGTTTTGCTACTTTAATGGCAATAAATTCAAGAAAAATTTTGATTAATTTGTTACGTGTTATCTATCATAAATCCATTATCTTACACTACATGATTCTTTTATTACATATTATCGTGAGTACTTGTTATATTTACCGTAATATAAATCTTTTATGTTACAGTGATGTCAGAGCTATCATTGGGAAGGTGAATTAGTGGTGTGGGACCGAAGACGAACATTGATATGAAACAACAAAAAAGTGTCTTGAGTATGCATCACTGCTGACAATCGCCCTACAATTGTAAAGGTTTTGGTGTCTCAGCTCACTGGGTAAGACAGTATCAGATGAAAATAAGTTTTCCTCAGTAAATTGATAGAACTTTAATTCAAGTTCAGCTCACAACATTTAACCAAAAACATGTTGTAACAATAGAAATGCATTTCTCTTTGGAAATTTAATCAAAACCCTTTTCAAAGAATGATTTTAATAGTATGATATTCCAGTAAAATGTTTGTGAAGTGGGAGTTTTTAGATTTTGACAAAAAAGCAGTCTGTGATATTGCTTGGAATAAATAACCTGCATTTATTTTAATGGTATATTCCATAAAACAAAAGTAATAAACAATTTAAGTTGTACACATCACATTAGTTGTGAATTAATTTCTAGAAACGCATAGAAAATTTCAAAATATTCATAAGAGATGTTTAGAAATTATCTTTTTTTTTCCTAATAATAATGGTCATTTTACTATAAAACATTCTTCTTGTAATGTGATTAGGGTTAAAAGTTCCCTCAAAATTGCCTCAAGCTGAAGTGCTTCCTATATCCACCTTCCGACATCAGTTCCATACCACACAACTAGCAAAGATGCAAAAAAAATGGCAATATTGTGTCAGAGCTGCAGGGTGCTTTGTCATTAGTGGTTCTAGTGTTCCATTGATCACTCATATCTATCCCCACTTGTCAAGTGGTAGATGGTGTGGACTGATGTTTGATGAAAGCCTCACGTAGACTGCAATTTAATGTGATTTAATCTTAAACCCCCATGTATACTGAGTGGTAACTTTTGGGGAGTTGACCACATTAATCTATTGTCGTTACATAGAGCACTTGTCCACCCAGTTCAGGATTGTGATGGAATAGTACATGGATTAACAGCTTCCTCTACTTTTAGCCACCCTAAGAGAATCCATATACTGGTATCTGCATTTGACATACTAATGTACATCTAGATTGGCAAACTACTGCAGGAAATTTTCTTCCATAGGTTCCCAAAACTTAATGACAGTGATGCACAAAACTGACTGTCATAAAAATAAATATGTTCTTGTTTGTCTCAAGCAACATTATAATCTGCTTTTGGTCAAAATTTAAAAACTTTTTTGAGGTGACCCACTTTAGAAATGTATATTCAAATAACATATGTTTGCATGCCTTTCCTCAATAGAATTATTTTCTTTTTCAGATCAATGAATCCACACGTGATAGGTCCTTGCATGCTGGAGAATTAGTGGAGCTCATACATACAGTATGATAGATACATAACTTCAGACAAACATGTGAGAAACTCTCATCCAATATAACCAAAAATAGTCATAATTTTGTTAAAATATTCGAACTGTGGTTTTTTATATCTTACTAAAGATATCTTTGAAGACAAAATGAATGTGGATGAGTGTAATTCAGAATAGAATGAACTTGAATTTATCTTTAAGAGGCACAAAGAAATGCTGTCATGCAATTCGTAAAGTGCATCAGTAATCATTCCTCATCTCCTAAGTTATTCTTTTCACATCCTGAGTTTGCCAAAAAGTAACCTGAATTACAGCAGTCACATATTTCTCTGTCCCAAAGAATACTTCATCCTTGAGTATCGATGTGCACTGCTTTATGGAATGCATTAGTTAAGCCAAAATCTGCAGAAGACAGTTTTACTGTATTGGGACTCAGGCTGGCTTATATCTGTTTTTTATTGTGAAGCACTTTCATTCTAAAACTCAAATTTAAAATTTCAGAACAAAATATCAGAGTTAAAAATTTTATTTAAAATTCAAGGAAATAGAACTTGAGTATTTAAAAAAATGTGTAGACTTATATTATAATATAAATATTTTTTTTTAATGCTTTCAATTTCACTTGATCAACTCCAGGGAAATAATTGTTTTTGTTGAAAACTACTTCTTTCCAATTTTGCTTTCAAAGTGAAAGTGCTTTCAAAGTGAAGAATTGGAGGCTAGACCCATAAGATGCTGTGGCTACCATCAGAAATTAGTAAAAATTCAAGGGAAACAAAGGTCCTTCTGTAAACACTGCAAAGAATATTGATACGGCACAATTCAAGTGCAGTAAATATGAGTTTCCTCTAGATGATGAATGGCATTGTGTTAAAAATTAAAGGCATAAAATTTGAGAAAAGTTTTGAAGACAACATAAATCTGGAAATACCGTAGTTTTTTCGAGAAAGATGTAAGAACTTAAATATCTTTTCATGTCATTTTTTTTAACAAATATGCCTCAAGGATCAGTCTATGGAGGAGAAATTTTAGTGATGCATTGTTTGAAATTTTTTTAGTGTGTTAAACCGAAACATGTCAGATTGTAAATCATAACATGTTTTTGACAAATAAATTATGAAACTCTTGTATTACTATTGGTTGTATTTTGTTTGACCAAAATACTTTTTTCAAGTATTTTGGCCAACTCTCATCACACATTACCTTTCAGAGCCTTGACTAAATATGATTTCTTACTTCTGTTTCTAGAACCAATGCATGGTTGTATGTAGATAAAAGGAAGTAATGTGTCACAGTGGACTACAAAACGATCAATTAACATTGTAATAACCGAGTGCAGAGAAAAATGAATTTAAACACTGTGTGTCAATGTCCAGGAGTTACAATGTGTGTGTGTACTTAGTATGTGTGTTGTATGTATATGCTTTCAAAATAATAGTATTCTACGAGGGGATAAAAGGCACTGACTGCCACGTGACGAGACTTGACAAAGGTAATAACGAGGGATAATTCCATGGCAAACGCTCAATGCGCAACAAGGAGTTCAGAGACGCGTTGGGCCAACGAGGACACAACAATCTAGACATAAAAATGCACCCAAGCCGAGTATTCCGGCGCATCTGCATCGCCAGAGCTTGTCTGCGCGAAGGTAGGCACATGGCCAGCAGCACGGAGCGCAGGGGAGGCTAGAGCTGATGCGACCGCGCCTCAAGCCTCCGGCATTCCCTTTGTCGATAGCTAGCAAGCACAGGGGAGTATGATATCGCACAAAGCATGAACTTAAGTTGAGGGCCTGCGCTGGACCGGCACCGGCAGACTTGCAAGCGGAGGCCGGAGCCACGTGGCGTTCGATCGAGGGTACAGCCTCCAATTGCCACATCAGGGTTAAGTTGGTCTTAGTCGACTCAACGCACGGACTACTCAACCGAGGATTAGGAAAGAATATGGCAGGCTACGTGACTGCCGGAACTTGGATTACACCGATGTCCAAGGGCATGTAGAACACTGGGAATGGAACACCGCGTCGGCGGCAGGTGCACCTACTTCTGCGAGAAAAAACGCATTACACTTCATCCGACCGAGGGCGAGGCCTACGGCTGGCTCTGCGGTTACGGCTATGGAAGCGGGTGGGGCTTCTGCTCTTGTGCGGCGATTTCGACGCAGCTGAGTCTGCGGAGCTGGCCGAGGGTCTACACGGAGTTGATATACCGTCCGTTTCCTGTTCAACAATGGCAGTTCGCCGTCTACCAACGGAGGGTGAGTATCGAACCTAGTTTAAAACCCGAAACGGGGACTGGATCTCCCGACTGACGTGATGTTCTCGGCGGAACTCACGTCGGTAGCCTAAAGGTGATTTCAGTGACTAGGCAAGGGGACCCCAAGCTGCTCGGACCATAATTCGGGTGGCCCCCCTGTTGACATAGTCGAGGCAGTGACCGATACCCATGGAGATTGAGAAGAGATTTTTACTCGGTGCATTTTGAGCGGTATTTAAAACGTACTCCGGTGCTAACATGTTTACTTACTAGCTCTGAACTGGCAGTGTGGCCCAACCCAGGCTCGAGTGGGAAGGCTCTAAGGCTGCTTGATGTCGTGATCTGGCTATCAGTCTGATGGAGGCACTGCACCTCCTGAAGGGAGTAAGGAATCCAGTCTATGGGCCCAGGCGCCCACCTGCTCCTGGCACAGAAGCAGACGGGCAACCTGTCGCACCTGACATACGACGACATAGGCACAGACCATCGTTACCCCACCTATGTTGTCCGTCTCTACATGCTTTTGATGAAGCATGATATAAAATTGCCCTCCCCTGTGAACCCTTTCCGAAACATTGTGTCTCTTGGAAACTTCTCTGGCTCATAATATACCTTAGATTGTCTAACCTCCGTTAATCCTCAGACTCCCCAACTTCACGTATCTAACGAAATACCAGGCAATGAAATATATGAATCTTGGCCGTAACTTCATCTACACTAATGATTCCCCCCAAACTGGCGAAGTAGAATGTGCCTTCCACTGCAATAATGTAACACGGATCTTCTGCGCAGGGACTCCCCCTATTTGTGAAAGTTGCGAGACGGATCTTCCCGTGGAGAATGTTCTCCTGCACTGATCTGTATAAGATAGCCTCCGAAGGCATCACCTTGATAGCTCTGAAGTAGAAACACTTGGGAATGACAAATCTTCTCTCTGCAATTTTTTAGCTTTTTACGGGCGAAAATCTACACCATATCCGAGAGAAGATAATGCCAATTATTTGGCTTTTAGTCAGAGATTTAAAAGTGATTTTCTGGTTCTTTTGTGCCAAATCCTTTTTATTGGACACATCCATTTTCAGTTTTACTTTTTACTTTGCATTAAGAAGTTTCAGCATAGCACTATCACAGTGCATAATGTTCTTAAAATTGACACGGGTACCAATGATCTTAGCCGTTGAAGACCTCCCGCAAGACGGGAAAATAATCTCACCAAATATAAGAAACAAAGTTACCCAAAGTTCACCCTAGCCTCAGCCGTGCGTGAAGATAGATGTGAGTTGGCTATTTATCTCGGACTCTCTTCCAACACTCCGATCTTCATCCAAGCCCCTACCATTAACGCCGACCCAGAGACTCGCTCTAAGGTAACACGACCTCTCGACCGGTGCCCAAGAGGACTCGCCTCAGAGGAGACTCCCGTGGGGGTAAACATTTGATCTTTTGGGGAACAATGGTGGAGATGTAAGAAGGATAAGAAAACATTTTCACGTTTTAATGCTCTATCGTGGAACGCAGTTTTTGGTCCCGGCGGGACGACCTAAAACTTTTGTTATCCCATTGTGGCTGCGGTCTATTTACAGGAGACATCTAATTCCATTATGCCCCCTTTTCGCAGTGCGACACCATTTAGGATCGTTGGCAATGGCCTCCGTGCTCATTGAGAGTTGCTGCATTGATTCACGACTCGCAGCTTTCTACAGACGTACCTATTCAGACCGGCGTACAAAGGCATGTGTGTGTATAAAAGTGTACCTCCCAACTCTCGCGCTCATTGTAATGTTTACATACTTCCAAGTCATTGTGTCGACCGTTAACTTTTTGGGCCTGCTCAAACTGCCCTTGATTGTTGGGGATGTAAATGCTCGCAGCCCGCTCTGGGCTCTTCCCTTGATTGTCAAGGAGGTTACATTTTGGAATCGGTCTTCGACTAACCTGGTTCTCTTTATAAGAGAATCTACACATTTCGCCATAACGACGAATTCCAGCACGTCTATTGATCGAACCCTCCCAGCCCTTCACTTGCAACCGCTATGTCGTGCGTTTGCTCGACAATCTCAATGGATAGTGCACCGCGCTGACTGGTGGACATTCTAAGCCAATGTCCTCTTAAATTGTCACTTCCACGATGTGGACGGAATGGCGGCACATCTCAATAGAGTTATACCCCTATCGGCTTCCACAATATTACAATATCAACCGAGACACCCCTTAGTCCTGGGTGGAATTTGAACTGTTCAAGGGCTGTCAGAACCCTTCGAAAGGAACTGCCACGACTCGAGCACAGTGAAAAAATCTAATTAAATATTAATCGTGTACAACGAAGGCGAGAAGAACTATTTTAGAAAGCAAAACTTAATTGTGAAGTGCATATGTCTTCTCAATTGCGATGCCCTTCCACATTTAGTATGGATTAAGATACACCATCACGAAAGCGTGCAACGTGTGAATATACATATGATTACACAGTATCATTTAAGAGGAACAAACTTATGATCTCGCGATGTCATTGAAGAGGAAATACTCTCACTACGAAAATGTATTGAGTTCGGCGAACCACCTTCAGACTTTCTTTTGGATAATATATGAATGAAGAACCGTGTATTGTATTTTTCAAGCAGAGTGGCTGAGGATTGCAGCGCACCATTCTCCACGTCTCAAATGCGTTGTGCCCTTACGTTTGCGAAAAGAACCGCTCGTTTTATGACAAAATTCCCCAAGCTGTCCGTACAGTATCTTCCTGAAAATGCCATGCAAATTCTCCTCAGGTTTATAATGGTGTCTAGGAAGAGCACATGCTGAATGATGAGCCATCATTCCATCTCTGAAATAGGAGATGGGTGTCATCGAGTTACCAACCTTTATCTCTTATCAGCTGCATACGCGCAGTTCACGAACGCAAGGTAAATCACCTGTTCTGCGTGGACTTTGGAGTGCAGAAATCTTACCTCAATGGAATGCGGATTCCGAAGGCAACGCTCAACCCTGGATCATATCGTTCCGTGAGCAAAAAAAATAAATTTTTATTCGTCTTGAGGCCGTTCTTGGTGTAGTCATATTGGCATAGAAGATATCCACCACACCACTGGAGGTACGCCATTCTGTGAACACTGCGCTTTTCAGGATTTAGGTTGGAGCTTCCCCGTCTCTCCCAAAACTTTATTTCGAAGTGATCCTTTCTTGTTCTCGTTGGTGACAAGCTGTGTAGCAGTCACTCTCTCGAAAACGGCACCCAGCAGGGGGTGGTGCTAACTACAAGTGTCATAAATGGTATAAGAACATGTAGAGGCATCGCGGCTTGAGGGTGCTTTTGCAATCTTCTGTTCACCCAGCTGCATCATTGTTATCCAAAGGCAACTCCTGTATCGAAAAAGTAAATAAATCTTGCTCCAACATGTAATATATTACTTCGCCTAACACGTTGCGTAGTCAGAACCCATGTTTTATGGGTACTAGTTTGAGAAAAATCGTTTGGCAACAAAATGTCCGTCTGTGTGGTCAAAGCTTGAACAGTTCTGATGATTTTCTCCAAACTTGATATTCCCTTATCGATCTGATGGAACTTCAGACCCTGCGAGTTTCAAACGGATATATTGATTTTTGAGGATACTTTATATGAAGCCACAAAAAATTGATTTTTTTTAAATGGCTTGTAAGTTTTTTTTATTAAACTTTGTCCTCTGATAGCTTGGGGGGGGAGGGCGAGTAAAAATGGCGTCGTTATCACTTTCGTTGAAATCCCTGATTTTCGAAAATTGCAGGAGTTCGCAATGTTTCAGCGTCGTCCTACTGCTACAATTTTAAAATCGATTTTTTCTCATTGAAATCCGTTGTTAAAAGACATCATGATATAAGGATATAGCAAAGAATGCAAAAAAATGCGCTGGTCTCGTTTTCGTTAAAAATTGCGTTGATCTCGTTTTAGAAAATTGAAAAAGTGAACTTTTCTTTGAGTGCTTCGGCAGTGTTGTCAGTACTTTGGTACGTACTTTCTAGTATTATTGCTAACTTTTATGTAATATATTGTGTGTATCTATTTAGCGTTTTTTGCAGCCACGGCCGTTTTCGGTAGCTGAATTTCCATGCCTCTTTATCCTATATTCTTCATTTCTCTTTTTTCCATGGCTTCAGTTATTGACATGTTCCATGTTTTCTCGGTCTTCCTCTGTATCTTATTTGATTGGGTATCCATTCCCAAACTTTTTGTGGAAGTCTATCCGATTTCAAACTTCTCATATGTCCCTACCATTTTAGTTGTTTCATTTTGCCTATCTAGTTCAAGGTAGTTTGCATGTTTATTTTATTTCTTATTTTGACTTGCAGAGAAAGTTTACTACATTTTCGCCAGAACATTATTTCTATTCCTTGAAGTTTCTTTCATTTTTTTATAGTGTCCTGACTTATATAGCATAGTGTTGTACTCTTTATGAAAGAGCTATATATGCGTTTCTTTGTCTTCGTTGAAATAATAGAGTTCCACAGCACTGAATTAACTGTCTTGTGGCCATTTTTCCTCTTATATTTTTATTTTTCACATCCTGTTCATCTCTACCCCATCTGCTGTTGGTGTGATTCCCAAATACTTATTTTGTGTATTACCTTCAACTATTCCTGTTTATTTATTGAGCCTGCAAAATCCCTTTATGGGCAAAGACCTCCTGCTTGAGCAGGGTGAATAGTTGGCTTCCATGTTTATCAAATGAAATTGCTTTTACACAAAATGAAATTACACATTTTTCACAAAAAATGAGCACAGCATTCCTGTATTAGTCTAAATCGTGGGGCATACCCCCCACCAACATATATTCAGCCTTTTGTAAGTTTATTTTCATTCCCCATTTTCCATACTCAAGTATTAATTTTCTTGACACGTAAGTTACTTCATCTTCAGCCATTATCACCTGGTCGTCTGCAAATAGTAGTTTAAACACTAAACCTATTTTCACACCCATACTTCTACACTTTGTTTTCCATTCTTGCAGGGCTTTATCAATGTATATCATAAACAGCATTGGGGATATACAGCAGCCTTGCCATAATCTTTTCTTTACTGGGAAGTCATCTGATAGACATTTTCCGACTTTTACTTGACTTTTGTTATCTGTATAAAGTTGTTTCACTGCATTTATGTATGTTGTTGGTATTCCTTTTTCTTCCATTGCCCCCCTCCCCATACTTTTTTTACTGGTACTTTTTTAAGATGTATGAAAATATGTGAAGTTCTCTTCCTTGCTCAATTGTTTTTTCCATCAGTGGTTTGAGATAGAAAATATTGTCAATACATGATCTTCCTGGTCTAAAACCACTTTGATCTTCTGAGTCTGACATTTGCGTTTCAATTATCTTTTTTAGTCCACGTTCATACAGTCTAATCAAAGATCCCTCTATAATTATTACAATATTTTTTCTCACCTTTTTTATAATTGAATTTATATAAGCTAATTTTACCTTCTTGTAAAATGCCATTGAATATTTCTGTAATTAATTTCAAACCTACATTAGGATAATGTTTAACATCCTATATGGGTATACCTCCAGGCCCAGGTGCTCTATTATTTTCCATGTTTCTTAAAACATTTTTTACCTCTTCCAAAGTCACAGCTGGTGAAATGGAATTTATGAACATTTATTATTTTATTATCACTGATTCTCCTGTGATCATAATATATTTTAATATTGCAATTCCTATTCTAACACTTCTGCCATATCTTTAAACAAATACCTAATCAAACAAAGTGTGAGAAGTTTGAAAAATCTTCGGTGTTTTTTAAATTTAAAAGTTTGAGTGTAAACGAATTTCTGTCATTTTCGAAAGAATGTAGTATTGTGAAAACAAATTAAAAAACAAACAAATATTTATGCAGGCTTGCATTCGAACTCTAACAGTACGAATGGCAAGCCAATATGCTTCCTGTGTCACTGTATACCTAAACTGTAACCTAAAATAAATTCTTAACGTTGGTTGCAATTTTATTATAACTCAAAATTACACCGAAACGTATCATGAAAAACGTCAACATTAAGTGATATTAAGTTCTACTATTAAGGAATTTATTGCATGAAAGAAGAAATCTTCAGCTTCAATATTGCAATGTAAAACAGATGGAAAAATAACTACTTTTGCCAATTTCGAAATTCCAGGACGTTGTTCTTCGGAATCCAGAGGATTCTTCATACTTGTTTTTGTGGTAAGGTCTTGTTAGGAATATCAAGAGAAACTTGAATTTGATCATTCCTGATGGCTGATCTCCTTGTACAGATATTGTTTCATTCTTTTTCAGTGTTCTGTAAATCCTACAAAATTAACTTTTCAAACATATTTTTGTTTATAGGGCGACCCACCATCTTATCGTGACTTCCATTCGGCTTCTGCTATTGGTTCTAACATGTATATATTTGGTGGACGAGGTGACCTCAATGGACCCTTTCATTCACAAGAAGAGCACTACTGCCCCGATATTATGTATTTGGATACAATTACTGGCAGATGGCATAGACCTGCTACCTCTGGAAGAGTACCGGTTGGTCGTCGGAGCCATTCAGCATGTAAGTTTTGGTTAAACTGACATTTAGATTCCATACATACATTTGTGGTTATATAGCATAAAATACATATATTCAGAGTATACAAAAGTATGTGAACAAAATAACGATTAATACACATCCCTCTTTATAAATTTAATCCGGTTAAAACTTCGTTAACTTGCTCTACATTTTACTTTCTCGCCTTAGTACATAAGAGAAAGTATTGTACACAATTATATCATAGGGTACAATTGTCATCAATATCACTAATAGTTTGTACAGGTATATTTTTCTCTTTTTTGACAATGTTCAGTTTTTTAGAAAAATATTTTATTTGTCATTCACAATTGCAACACAATTCTTTTATGCATAACTGTATAAACAAAATTTATAAAGTTGCGTTTGGACTCAACTTAATAAATATTATAGTTTGTACTTGATGAAGTATACAAGAATAATGCAAAATGTTATTGCATTTTTATGTGACAAATAAAACATTTTGAAAAATTGAACATTGATTGTCAAAAAATAGTAAAGAATACCTGTGTCAACATAATAACGATGATGATGATGATAATAATAATAATAATAATAATAATAATAATAATAATAATAATAATAATAATAATAATTTTTTTTCCAAAGAATTACAATGATAGTGTACAGATGTTACTATTTACATATAAAAAATTTAGAACAACAAAAACGATCACCATAAAAACAAAACAGGAAGAAAGAATACTAATTTTGCTTGACTACATTACATCATGTTTATCCTTTTAGCATTAACCTTTTAACATGATTTGTTTATCCAGCACACTCTAAATCCTCTCTAAGTACTTTTTGTACTTGTCCTTTGAGTGTGTTGCTTTGTATGCAGTTAACAGTAAAAATGAAGATTTAGTTCTTCATAATTAGCAAAATATAATCTTGTAATGACAGTATTCAACAGGCAAAAAGAAATCAAAGTCATCAAATTATTATCTAAACAACAAATAAATAGTAAATAAATAAAACAAGATGGCAGTTGGCAACAGACAAATATGAGATTTTAACAAATTAAAATGTTGTAATGACTGCAATTAACAGTAAAAATGAAGATTTAGTTATACATAATTGACAACAACAACAACAAAAATCTTGAGAACGATTGTCCTGTTAAAGGTTCATCTCTTCCCAATGTTTCTTCCAAAATACCTAGGGACTTCTTCATTGGAAGATTAATTTCCATAAATAAGTATTCACTGTAGTAATCTGTGAGATTTGCTGAACAGAAAATAATTTTTCAGTTGTAGTTGTCTTATACATAAATGCCGTCACAACAGTCATGTACAGCAAAGCTAGATTCAGATCTCCATTAATTATATGAGAACTATGATATTGAGTGAATTACAGTTTCTTGGAGCTATGTTTCACTAATGAATGTATTTTATGACAATGTTGTTAAAGTGGGAATGATGAAAAGAACTATTATGCATGCAAAAGCAGGGTGACCACTTTCGGAAAAACCAAGTGAATTTCAATTCCAGAAAAAATACAGTGAAAACACAGGGAAAAAGTTCTCACGTTCAAAACAATAGATTGTCGATGTAGAATTCGAGCTAACAGTTATTTCCAATTGAGGGAATTAATTATTTATAACGAAATAAGTATTATTTATGATATTTATAAGACATTTTATTAATTACAAGAATCGTTTTCAAATAACTATTTTAAGTTAATTGCATCGTTTTAAGTAATAAACTAACAAATTACACGATACTCTATAAAACATTGTCTAATGTATTTGGATATTCGCCTTTAGTATTAACTGCAACGCCGCATGCCCTCTAAACATTATGCGTGTGAGAGGAAAAGACACTACCAATGATTTGCAATTGGTGGTGGAAAAAAAAGCTATCATAGTTGATCGAGACATTCTTTGCTATGCTCGTGGGGCCAGAACTTAGCAGAAAAATGCTATTGAAGAACGAAAGCAACGGGAAACGAAATTTGAGGTACGGAGGGTATATGAGACAGCAGAAGAAGAGCTGCGGAATTCATAACACGGAATAAAGAAACTGGTGGAGCTACAGAATAGCACAGACTTTTTAGACTAGTTAGTTTTCTAACTTCTTTGGTCTGGACTAGCCACATTCTCTAGTCAGCTGCCGTCTATAGCCGCCCATTCATTTCTTTCTTTTCTCTTCTCCTTCTCTTCTCCTTCTCTTCTCTCCTCTTCTCTCCTCTTCTCTCCTCTTCTCTCCTCTTCTCTCCTCTTCTCTC